TTCATTCCATCATACCACCCTCCCCTGTTTTTCTGAAGTTTAGATCCTGACTTCAAATTTTCTGAGTTTATCCTCCTCCACGAATTAATGTTGGATCCTCACATTCCCAAGTTACGATTAATGTGACTTTATTTAAGACATTTCTCGCATTAAATAGAGAATCTGATAAAAATGACTAGATGGCGAGGATAAACGACATTTGATATGAGGTCTTCAGGGTCTGATCCTTCTGCAACATTCCCATGAAATTTATTGAGAATCTCATTAGTAGATAATGGATCGCCAGGGAAATCAGTATCTACCAAAATTGCATTAGGTTTTTGACAATCGTTTGATTAATATGACAAATTTTTCTCATTTTCGTAAGAAATTACGTCAAAAATATATAAATCAATAAAAGAACCCGTATCTAGCCAAACGACTAGAGAATCGTGATAGGTAGATTCATCAGACACTTTTGTCGCAGAATGATGAATCCCATTTGGTGCAACTGCATTCATTATTACTTACTTACTTACGCCTGTTACTCCTCGTGAAGGAGCATAGGCCGCTCACCAGCATTCTCCATTCAACCCTGTCCTGGGCAATCCTTTCTAGCTCCGTCCAGTTGTATGCATTCCGCCTGTAGCTCTTATAGGGTTACTGCCGGTCCCAAGCCCGGGTAAAGGAGGAGGGTTGGGCATGGGGTTAGCGTCCCCATCCCGTAGAAAACTAACTCGCTAAAAAAACGCTTACCAGAAAAATAATCCAAACCATTTTAACTCTGCCCTGGGAGTTAGAAGGTCTTCATTTAGAAGAATTATGACGCTTCATGGTGAAAGCCGAGTTCTTTCGGAAGCCACGAGGCCGATGCCCCTTCTAACAACCAGAGCAAAAAATTTTTTATAGGTACATGGAACGTTCGAACAATGTGGGAAACCGGGAAGACCAGTCAAATAGCAATGCATTCATTATGCTGACCGATTTATTTTCTCTTTCATCGTGCGCGGGTGCTGAAACAATTTCTTGAGCATTTAACAAGATACAGTCTTTCTGTGAGCTGGGAAAGTCACTGCTTGTACATTATGTTTCGCGAATAGTGGGATTTGAACCCAATACAGGGCATGTCTCTGAAATGGACTTTACTGGACCATCGGGTGGATCATCTATGAATGTTACTGTTTTGTTTAAATTACTGCTTATAAGTGTTATATCGGAAGCTGTGTCTAACTGTAAGAGGGCATCACACTCATTATTCTTGAGAGAAACATACTTTCTACGGTTATGAAAGCCGGTTCTTTTAAGCAGTCATATCAGCCTTCTGTGATAAATTCATAATCATCAAACTGATTAGTTACAGTTTTGGCATTTTGATGTCCAATTTTGGTGAAGATATAAGTACAACTTGCCAGCAAGATGGATACATACTGTATAAAATATACCCATCAAGTGTATCAAGTATGATCATAACAGTAAAATTGTCAACTATTTTCACTTAAACCGCGTAATTTCAATTCACTATAGACTCTTGAATAAACAAATTTTGTCGTTTTATCAAGTGTTCACAGTTTCTTTTCAAAATCCTCTGAACAGAATATGTGTTAGTCAAGAATGTACAATAATATTGATTCTGTGATCATTTTTTGTAAAAACAAGTTTGTTCAACAGTGCTAAGGAGATTGTTAAATTTCATAGTTTACACCATAAACTGACCTTAGTTAGATAACCAATGAAAACCAGGAACCGGTATAGGGTTCTTCAGCATAATGCATCTTTTTATTGCTAGGGATAAAATTCACGACCTTCAGGTTCCATTCAAAGTGTTTAGTCTGTGGATAATCAACTTGGCATCCAATAGTTTATAGTTTTAACTTGAATCCGTTTTCGATATTTTACCACCATCGTTTATTCTTATTAATGACAATACTTCCTAATTGTCTAACTATGATCAGTTCATAGTATAAACTACGAACAACAAGTATGTGTTAAAGATATGCACTATTTAATCGGCTAAGCGAAAAAGATTGGTTTTGCCAAAGTCACCCACTGGTGACATCAAAATGTTTAGTCATTGATAATTCATTTATTGCGATGTATTAGTTTGATTAGTTTCATCAAAGTGAACGGAACTATTTTCGTCAAGTTAGATTAATTCATTCCATGTAGAAGGAATAAATATTCGACTTCATCTAACAAACATATGGACAAAATAAATATAAGATTCAACCTAACAAATGTTTCGAAGAAGGTTACTTTTATTGACGTTATCATCCCAAAATCATACTACCAATAAAATCATAATAATAAAAAGGTTAAGAAAGGGTTTTCAAAAACACATTTACTACAATCAAATGGAATGCAGTTTTCAGATAATCAAAACCATTGAAGATAGGTTGCTTGACCTCGTTACATCCACTTATGTTTACAAATTCAACTGTTCCTGGGGAGACAATTATACAAGACGCATAATTCGGCGAGTCTGTTATTGTACAACAGAACATTATCTGTCTTGGTTGAGCAAAGAAAAGTTGAGTGTGATTAACAGTATTATTCTCGTTCAGTTGATGGACACAGGATATCAAGTTAACTTGGATGGAGTTTGTAAAATTATGCAACGTGTTACATCAAATTTACTGCATGTTTTAATGGTTTGTCTTTTGCGTACTACTGAAGCTAAAGAAATCCATATTCATAAATATATGCTTCATACTGAAAAGACGTTTACACTGCCCCTCTCTACCTTGGTTATCGATAAGGAAATGAGTTTTATCTTAACTTTGACTAAATCTATTCTTTTGACAAAGAACTTGAAAAGTTTTTTTATTTCGAAGAGAGCAAGAATAATGGATTGGGCACAATAAAATCGATTACTTATAATACTTTAGGTTTTCGTCAGCTGCTTACAATCAATACTATTTTAAAGGCAAAATTATCATCAACCTAACATGCTAATAACAGTGTGATTGGTTAGGCGTGAATATGTATCATCATGGTGAAGCAGCAATTCAAATAAATGTAATAGGATTAAAGGGATATATATTTTCATGCCAGTATCCTTCACTTGACCATCACAAAACGTTTAAAAACTGACTTATTAAATAATTTGTAATCTGAAGGCCATACAATTGCGTTATAAGCAGAGATGGATAGTATCTAGAGGTGAAATTCACGACGCCCGTTTCACCCTACTTGGGACTCGTCAGCTGGATGTGCCTGCATTCCAGAGTTAATTTTCAGTCCGAGACTCGCCACCGCATTAACCATTTAGCTACTGAATTCTGATAGCCACTAGCTTGTGCGATGGGGTGAAGTTTAATTCATTTTTGTATTGGTTGTTTGAATCTTCCTTTAAGATGTTTAGGACTGTAATTGGTCAGTCTCTTATTGGCATATGTGAATCCTATACAGATTGCCTCGATATCACCGTAGATTACGAGCATTATAAACAGAGATGGATGGTGGCTAGCAGCGGATTCCACTGTCAGCTACTAGCCGTATGTGCTTATAACGCAATTGAATAGTTTCCAGATTACAATTATGTGTTTTTAATTTTTACAAATAATTACTTTGATTACTATAATCCTTATTCCAATTAATTAGTTCATTACTCAATAGTATTTTCACAGTCACTATCAAACTGTACAATTGTAATGTTACATCAATGCTTAGTCAGTACTATTTTATTACTGTAAATGTAGAATTCAGCTGTTTTCTTTACCTTGTATAATCATTGATGATTGCTTCATAAATATAACAAATAGGTGATGAAGCTTTTCAAATTTGGTTAAACCTTTTTAGCTGATCAGTTATATCTTATCGTGATTAACACTAGATCTAATGACAGTTTGTTTAAAACAATTTATTAGATTCTTGTTAGCAGTTCATTTTCATTGATCAAGTTACCAACAGATTTTTCATTATTTAGGGTTCGTTTGATCCAGGTACATTCCAGATAAATTTCCAATGCTCACATAGTGCGATGGTGGAAAAGATTTGTAGCTCAGGTAGATGATTTTGATGAACTTTTGTTTTCTGTGGAAGTCTACATGAAGTTTGTGCTGATGATGTTGTTCAGAAGGACGATGAAAGCGCCACGACCAAACCATCTAGTTCGGAGAACAAAACTCCATCAAAATGCTCACATGTATTAAATGTTACATTAGACTCATGTCTTTCAGAGGAAAGGAAGAGGTGGCTAACTAGTGAAGGCATTTGATTTTGAAGTAGTATGTTACACGATCGAAATCTGTTCCACTTATCTCTGTTTATCTGGCCAGGTAGGATTATAACCTCTCACATTCAGTTTAAGACTGAAAGCTAGGTACACGAGTCTGTACCTAGTAAGTGAATTAAGTCAGTCACTTTTAAAGTTTTTGATCCTTTACTGTATGTAAAATTAATTTATTCTGATAAAGAAATGATTTAGTTAAACTTCTGATATCCTATTCATGGTTCAGTGTTCGATAATTGACTAACTTCAAGATAGATTTTCTGGAGTCCTAGTGAGAAGCCATGACCAGTGGAGTCAAATTCGTGTCAAATGTGAAACAGTGATCTACCTCAGATAATAGATGAAAAGTTGCCTAAGCTCATGGATCGACTGAAGTTAGACATAAACAGATACAGGCTCACTCGTCTAGAGTTTAAGCGTTCGCACGCGAAACGGAAGGTCTTGGGTTCGATCCCCGCGTGCAAGATCGTGAGTATATACTTTTGGGAAGTCCCATACTAGGACGAAACAGTCATCCAGTACTTCCTAGGTTTTCACTAGTGATCTAACTTAAATCAACTCATGAATTTCACTAATAAATTACTACAATCTTCACAAATCCTCATTCTACTAAATGTATCATGTTTAAATCTGACCATTATTTTAATGATTGTATCGCTTAATTTGCACTTGTATTTTGTTTATTTTGCTTTCTTCTCTCATTAAAGTTCACTTAGTCTTAACTGATGTACTTAATTTGATATGAATTAAAAGTTCACTATATAAATATACCTTATTTTGAGAAGAAAAAAAAAGACAAAAAAGAGAAAAGAAGAAGTTATTTCACATTTGTGTTTACATTAAATCATAATGAAGATTTTATATGTTTGTTTATTAATTATTACATTATTTACTATGACTATTCAATATAATTATCAAACATATCCAAGTAATTATCGTAGACAATTAAATAATCAATATAGCCCTAGTAACCATTATTATTATTATAATAATTACGATAATAATAATAATAATAATGAAGGTAAACGTTATGATGGTAATAATAACAATAATAACCATTATTATTATGGTCACAATCGTAGAAAACCTGGTAATTATTATCCATCTAAAAGATATACTAATAAAAAACCTAAAAAAATGCATCTTACAAGAAAATATCTTATGGAAGGTGAAGCTAAACATATTCATCAAAAACATGGTGAAAAACATATAAAATCAGTTGGTGAATTATTTGGTTTTACTGATACATATCAAGGATCTGATTATACATTAACAACTACATTTCATAAAGGTAGTTTATCAACAAAATATGGTAAACCAAAATATTTTTCTACATATGATACAGAAGGACAAGTTAAACATTATAAAAATACACATGGTCGTGCTAAATTTAATCTTAATTCCAAATTACATGGTCATGAAAAATATAAAGATTTAAAAGAAATAAAAGCCAATATAACATTTGAAAATAATGATGATACAACAGATGATGAATCGAATTATTCACCAACTAATCATCCATATGGAAAATTAGAAGGTTATTAATTCAATATAATATGATAATGAAAAGAAAAATGTCAATTATAAGTTAGTTGATTGAATGTATATATAACTATTATACATGAATATATATCTATGTATCATGTTATGAAATTGTACGTGTCATTATTGAGAATTGAGTAAATCATGTCAAAGACGATCAAACAAACAAACAACTTCTTATGACTTCTTTTCCCCGCTTTTTCTCCTTTTTTTCTTTTCTTTTTTCTTTTTTTCTTTTTTTTAAATTCATGACCTTTCCTTTAAATTATTTATGATGTATATTTTAATTTGATTAAATAATAATGATACATTTATACAGAATCATTTATTTTTGGTCAATTTTGTTCAAAATTATTATTTATGAATAAAGATAGTTAAAAAAGAAATAATCAATTTATCACTGATTAATGATTGATTTCATGTTTGTTTAACTCTTTAATTGTGAATGAATTTTATTCATTAAGTTGTAATATGATCCTCTAAACTAAGTGATATAACATTGATTGTATCATATTGAAATGTTAGATAATTAGATATATACCTTGGTATATCTATTAATTAAGATGTATATGTAATCTTGAAGATATAGTGAAATTCGGAATAGTATCAATGAACTATAATAAGTTATTTTATTTGTACGAATATTCGTCAAGATTAGAACGAATAGTTTGACAGAAATTAAGCGCCGAGTATAGAGGAGTCATTATATGTGAAAATTATATTTGAAATATTCTCATCGATTGAAATTTAAATAATTCCAACGTTTCGTCCAGAAAACTTGTCTGGACCTCTTTAGAGTAATAATCAAAATGATGATTTGATGATTTTGATTATTACTCTGAAGTGGTCCAGACAAGTTTTCTGGACGAAACGTTGGAATTATTTAAATTTCAATCGATGAGAATATTTCAAATATAATTTCCACATATATTTTATTTGTGATTTGATCAGTTATTTACCGTTTTATTTATATTTAACAATGCTCAATTTTAAGGTATGAGTAAGAATATTAAACTGTTGCGTCAATTATTAGAATATATAAAACGTTCAAGAACTCTGATAAATTAATATGATGGAAAAAAGTCAATGTTCGATTGATTTACTTATTATGATTCAACGTGGGGATCATGCAGTGTAGTAGTTGATTTGTTTTCTCAGTATGATATTTTCTTCTGTATAATATACGATATTCTTGTGTTCCATTGGCATGAACTATGCTCAGTAAGTGATTTGTTATAACTGAGTATGTGATTTAATCAAAATGGGTGTACAATCAATATATAAATGAGTGTATTTTAGACTATTGTGATTCATTAGTATTATCGTCATTATCGTCGTCGTCATAGTGTTTTGGGGCTAATAAATCTTCACTTATACCAGTCTTTGTGTTCTTACTTTCGCGTCGTGGGAATTGCAGAGGTCCCTCGTTCCGAGTATAAGTGATCAACGTTTTTCCGGCATAGCAATCAGCGACGACCAAATATAACATAAATACAATTGTTGAACTTAAAGGTATAAAAATTATGTATAAAGTTATGTGAATTTATCATTTTTGTACAATGAAGTATTAAACTTGACAGTGAGAGTGAATTAGAACCAAGAAAGATATTTTATAACCTTAAAACATAACTGTTTCTTATTTTAAGGAAAGATGGATAGTGCCCCTCAGTAGAATGTAGGAAGCGCGTTTCGTTTTGAAACGAACGGTACTGGGTTTGAATTTCGGGGTGAACAATAACTCTGAGATGCAGGTACATCCACCTGACGATTCCCACATAGAATTATCCATCTTTACTTACGAAGCTTGTGACTTAAGGCTATATTAAGTAAATCTGTACAGGATGCACATATGCCAACATGAAACGGATCAATGACAGTCCTAAATAACAATGAGAAGATACAAGTAAAACAACATCAAGTGTATTTATGTTTCTTATTTTTACTCAATTTTTTGAATTATATTACCTTTAGATGAGTCAAAGTAGATGTCACAAGATGCATTTTTGTTTTACCAGGGATTTTTGGCAAATGTCAACTTTTGATTAGACAGGTGTATGTGAGAGATCTTTATGTTAATGTATAATGAGTTTATTATTTTCATAGACAAAACAAGTTATTACATGAATGTTAATAGAACCTAAAATTCAGTAATTATGCTTAGACTTTAACATTGGAAATTAACTTCTGTAACACAGTTCATTTGGATGTAACAGTTTGAAGATGGATTTGAACCGAACTTGAAATTCCAGTACGTGAAACTTGTATATATCTATCCGGGAACTAGATGGAAAAATTGGTAAGGTGATGAGTTTGTGATCAGTCAACGTAGTGTCCAAGAAAGTTTATGTCGATTTATTTTGATCTAAGTGATGGTTTACTTTAATCTAGTGAATGTTTACAGATATGATTAAAAGCAGAAACCAAAGGTAAATTATACTAGAATTTTCTCCCAAATTCTTCATAAAAGTGAAAGGAGCATCATTAAATAAAAGAATTTTTCCCTAGTTGTGTTTTTAATTAAACCAACTCTTATTATGTACTAATCTCAATTCAGTTAATTTTTTTCTACTTGTCTTTCTCTTCCTGTCCTTATGCCTTCTTTTTTTCCTTACAAACGTATCTTTCGATTTATGTAGAACAAATTTTATTTTTGATTGAGATCATGAACCGATTGATGTTAGACCATCACCTTTGGAAACCCGGAAGCACTGGACGGCCGTTTCGTCCTATTGTGGGAGTCCTCAGCAGTGCGCATCCATGATCCCGCTCGCAGGGTTCGAACCCAGGGCCTTCGGCCTCGCGCGCGAACGCTTAACCAACTGGACCACTGATCCGCCATCAATCGGTTCATGATCTCAATCAGAAACGTAATAATCTCCACAACCCCTATACTAGAAATCTTATTTTGTTACTTAATTGTACCAGAATTAATAAAAATCAATGTCTATCAATAATTTCTTTTGATCCCTATATTCATAAAATATCAAGGAGTTGATGTATCTTGTCGATTGAATGCTACTTGCTATATCTGATCGTTGTTGACTGTTGTGTCAGAATGGCTTATTACTTATACCCGAAACGATGGACCTCTGCAATTCCCACGACGCGAAAGTAAGAACACAAAGACTGGTATAAGTGAAGATTTATTAACCCCCAAAACACGACGAAGACGACACTAGTCAAAAATACACCCATTTATATACTGTTTCGTGCACCCATTTTGAATAATAATTAAGATGAAATCACATATATGAAAAATACTTAGGGTTATAACAAATTAGATACTGAGCATAGTTTATGTCAATGGAATACAAGAATATCGCATATTATACATAATAAAATATCATACGAGGAAAGAAAACAAATATTACATTGAGAATCATTAAATTGAATCAAAACGGAAGTAATCTTGAACAAAACTTATAATGAGGAAATTAATCGAAAATTGACTTTTCTTCCCATCATAACAGGAGTTTTCATTGATATTTCATTAAAAAGTACGTTTCTCAATTGATGTTTAGAAATCATGGATATAAGTAATAAAAGTTTGTTTTTATTGAAGGAAAATCAAGAACGCTAGAATACATTGAAGCATTATGTGTACATCAAATCAAATTACATGAACACAAAGAAAGTATGAAGATTGTTCTAGAAATAAGATAGGTAAACTTAAGATCATATCTAAACATTTAGATGTACAAAATTATGTATGATCCAGTTATATGATAATATTGTAAATAATGACAGTAATTATTTACTTACTTACGCCTCTTACTTCTCATAGAGGAGCATAGGCCGTTCACCAACATTCTCCACCGAATTCTGTTCTTGGTAATCCTTTCCAGCTGTTATCCATTATTTTGATGTCTGCTTCCGGTTCTCGGCACCGTGTGTTCTCTAGTCTTCCTCTTTTATATTTCCCTTCAGAATTCCAAGTTAGTGTGTAATAATCCCACGATCAATAAATTCTTAGTTTTTTAAATGCCAGATACTGTCGTATTAAAGTGTTAAAATTGTTTGAACGCTTGATGTGTACACTTATATGTTTGTATAACTAGGATATTGATAGACATTATGAGCGTGATCAGTTTAGATATTTGATTCGCTATCTACTTTTCATTAAATATAAAGCAAAATCTCTTTTATGTAGAATTGAATATTTTCCTTTTGTTTTAGTAAAACAATTACCTTTATTTTTCAGTCATCTTGTGATCAGTGTTTTTTTAGTTCTGAACTGCTCTATATAAGGTCTGAGGTCAACTAGTAGCTTGTATGGTGCGAAAGTGATACAATTCTAATTTCATTCAAATCATCTGAAGAGAATTGACTTTTAGCGTGAGATACTAGCACAAACTAAAGCATTAGTTATGAAAGTCTTTAGATATGTTATGTTCAGATTATGAGTATGGTTGACTAAAATATTAGACTATAACAAGGGTTAAACGGAGTTAAGTTTGATTGGTATTTATCACTGACCGTCTTACTGTACAAAGAAATACAGGGACAGTTTAAAGACAACTAAAAGCTTTCGTAATCACAACTTTCGCTTCCATGGAGAAGAGTAGGGTATTATTTAATGTTTCTTAAATAACCTTATTGAAATCAATTTTTTTTACATCTTTTAAACATTATCCAACAGCTGAAGTGCAATACAATTAATTAAAATAATTTTACCATAATAATGTTTCTAAATAATAAAACCATCATTAATGTAAAAATAAAGGCTTCAACATATTCAATTTACACTCTTCTCTGATGATATGACATACCTTTAAACTACACTATTTGATCACAAAGGGTTGTAAATCTATACAGGGTACTCAAGACCAACTTTAAAGTAGTGACTTAATACAATTATTCAGTTAGTCCTAAGTTTGCTTATATGAATTAACACCAATATGATTTGTCTAAGAAATATGTTTTTGTAATGAACTCGGCACTAGTTTCTTTTTAGGTTAATAGGAGAGTATATAGCAATTCAAAGTAGTTACTTTTAACTTTTCTGATGATGAACTGTAGAAACGTTTTTAATACTTAATTACGCGTGTTACCATTCGTGCAGGCGAATAGTTCACTAATCTGGATTCTTCAACCAACTCTGTCCTGGGGTTTCTTTTCTAGCTGTTTTCAACTTCTATTTATTCTTTCAATATCTACTTCCAGTTTCCGGCACAATATGTTTTTGGGTCTTCCTCTTTTCTTCTTCCCTTCAGGATCCAAAGTTATGGGTCGCCTCGTTCCTCAGTTTGATGATTTTCCAAATATACATATGTTCTTAAGGTAATCGATAAACTTATATGATGAACACATTCTGTGGTGGCTTTATAGATGAAATCTCAAAAGATTATGCTTTTCATAATAAGATAGGAGGTGATTTCTATGCAATTATGTGAGAAATACATACAACTAGACATTGATATGTACTAACAATGGTAGTCTTATCATATTTGTTGAAAATATATTTATTAAACTTATCTAAAATCTGAGTTGTGCGTTAAAAAGGAAACGACTGTTTGATCTTTGTGCTGGTTACATAAACTGCAAGTAATTACAATTCTGATTGGTATTTCAAAATTATTTTTGGACATTATGTTTATTTAAAATAATTTATTTAACGTTATTAGTTTTACATAAACTTTGATAAAATTCAATCAGCACTGAAAAGGACTTGATAAACATGACTCTGGTTACTTGTTAGTGATCAATTTCCATCCTATAGAATGTTACTATTGTCTCGAGTAGCTCAGTGATACTTGTTTCATACTGTGAATCTGAATGATAAGAATCAAATCCAACGTGAAGCATCAGGAGCTAACGGGTACACTTTATCAAAGAATCCTAAATAGCAAGAAAATTAGGTCTAGGATTGATTTTCTGTTGACTGTGTTTAATCACTTGACACTTATTAAAACTACTGCTGGGCTATTTTGATACAGGTTTACATTTATTTCTATAAAAATTCAGTCCCATAATAATACAGCATGCAAAACTCACTTAGAAATTTTGAGACTTTTGTGATGTACAAATATGGTTTTAATAAAAATAAACTATTTGAACAAATTAATTTACTGGCATACATAATCATTGCCATACTAGTTTGCAACATAAGGATAAATAAACGGTTAATGGAAAAGAAAATATTCCCTTTTTCAATTAGTTCCTCTTCAAGGCTTTACAGCAGTATATAAATTTATAAGTTGAAAATTAACACTAAATAAATAATGATCGGTTATTTTTAATGGTTGAGATCATGAGTCAGTTGAAGCTAAACCACCGTGAAAAACCTGGAAGCACTGGACGGTGGTCTGTTTTCAATTGACTCATGATCTCAACAGTTAGGAATTACTATAATATCCACAAAACCCCTTCTGATACTAATGATCGGTTAGTATAGCAATGTATATCAATATATGTTTTCTAAAGAAAATATTAATACTAATGGTAATAGTAATGGTGAGAATATAATTTATAAATGACCTTTGAGTGACGCTAAAGTAACCTTGAGAACGTTCATCTACTCACTAGGGCTAAATGACGGTTATAAACCAGTATACGGAATAAGTATTATGATTTACAGTGGATGGTTAGGGGTTAGAAATAAGATTTAGGATTTTCATCACGAATTGAAATCAGTTAAAATGCCAAAACGTTATTTAGCCAAATAGGTGAATGGATTTCACGCCGAAATTCAAGATCAGTTATCCTAAATCTGATTGGTCCGTTCATCAATTATAGTCCCATAATAATAATATTATTATTATAGCAATAGGTAATCTATTCAAAGCTAACCTAGAAAAACACCAGGAAATGTTTAATTTCTCAATCTTACAATTTGATAAAAGTTTTTAATTTCAATATTTTCTAAATATAAAAATAATAATTTCGATGGTTGAGATTATGAGTCAATTGACGCTAGACTACTATGAGAAACCTGGAAACATTGGATGGTCGTCTCGTCCTAGTGTGGGACTCCTCAGCAGTGGGCATCCATGATCCCGCCTCGTGAGATTCCAACCCAGGACCTATCAGTCTCGTGCGTGAGCGCTTAACCACTAGACAACTGAGCCTGTCGGTATCCAACAGTGTTAATGTCTAACTTCAGCTAATCCTCGAAATTAAGCAACACATCCATCATTGTCTTCAATGAATTACTATCTCATAACAAACCCAGTTGAACTCAAATAAAAGTTATTCCAAATTGTAATTTCTACGCATCAATGTTTTGAATAAGTGCGGAATAACAAGAATAGGGTATCAAACATAATTGATTTACTTAACTATTCTAAGCCTGCACTTAACATTTTATACGCAACCTAAAGAAATAATTTATACAATATACATGTTCATATAAATGAGTAAACATATATATATCCATATATACTATTGAAGCACTCTCATTTTATCATTTACAATAAAATATGCTATTCACTAAGTATTATTTAATAGGAATAATAATATATATTGCTTTAATTAATTCAATTTATACATATTCTAATCATTATTATAATGGACTTTTAGAACATTCTAGAAAAAATTCATATGACGCTATAAACTTTCCATTGAAAACAATTCATGGACGTAAATATGATATGGAAGATGGAGCTGGATTTGTACCAGATAATTATGGTAATCATGATAACCACGAAGATGAAGATTATGATTCATATCATAGTAATAATTATGATGATGGTGAAGAGCATAATTATGGTCACGTTAATTTAGCAGAACAATCAATGAATAAATTAAAAGAGTTAAAACGTCGTAAATACAATGAATATTATAAAAAAGATGATGAAGAAGAAGAGGGAGAATATGGTAAACATGATGATGATAAACCACATGAATATCCAAATGAAGAATCACCACAACGATCAACTGAAGCGCCGAGAAGAACTACAACCAGGCCAAATTTGTTGGCAGAGTAAAGTATTCACCTACTAATTGAGAGTATTCAGATAATGAATTAAAAATATCAACATGTAAATGAATTACCTGACTTTTTAAATGATCTAATATCATGAATATATGTTGTACGATTTAATAAAACAATAATGTCATCAACTGTTCATTAATATATATTTCTTAGCGTAGGGGATTGAGGATACTTTTGAATTTTGTAGTTTTAAACCACAGATTAATTTTAATGACATAACTAATAAAAATTAGTAATCATTTGATAGCTGTACCGTCTTAGTATGGGACTCACCGAAAGTAGGCATAATGTTTTTTTTATTGTTGTCGATTTTATAATCTCAATTGTATGGGGTAACTTCATAGGTAATATGGTAAGTTTTGTTGTTGTTCTAAAATTGTCACCATTTCTATTATTATCTTACTAATTAGCAGAACTATTTGAATATAAACGAATGATTGGGTGTTAGAGACATTTTGTTTCTATGTAATAACATTTTATATTGCATTAATTAGTGATTCTCTATGTTGTTTCATTCACTCACACTACTTTTAAATGTCCATTTCCTACTACGAGAGAACTGTTAATGCGAAACATGTTATAAGTTTTATAAGTAAATACACATAATTATCTGTTTTACAGTATTTATTAACTTATATGCTACTATGATCGAACGTACATCCAGACAAATTTATATTGGTGGGTAATTTTACGAGTGGATTACTCATCGAAGGAATCAGTCATTCTCTAATGATGACACCATTTTATGACGGTAAACTATTTTGAAGATACCACATTTTGGGATATCTTATTAAGGCGGGGATACATATGAAAGAAAGAAACGATTTCTTATTTCATCAAGAGTCAAGATACTATTACAAAAAGATAACATTTAGTTAACTGAAACGTGAGTGGTGTGTTTAGATTGTAGCTAGAGCTTAAATCAACGACGTACATTCTGTCTTGTTTGGCGTTTCTCAGCTTAATATACCTGGATCTTAGTATTCGTATTCACACTTGGACTCAAACCCAGTACAAATCTCTTCAAACACTAGGAAGTTATACATTACTGAGTAGTCAAGGCTTCACCAACAGGTTCAACCGGTGCAGTGTTTATTCATATAGATTTATTTTGTCCTGTTGCTGATTTTCAAGGTTTATTTTTAATCACTCTTTTTTGCAATATTTTTTAACCTGAACGCAATTAATATAGCTTTTTCGCTACCGAGTGAAATTCAGTCTTAAGTATCAAGAATAGAATAATAAAAACTCTTAAAAATAAAAAAAACTATTGATTTCTGAAACTAATATACAGCACATTCCTAGGTAATCGTTGCAATACTCCGGAAAAGGCATTGTATTCGTTTTCTACATCATTAAACTATGCAATCGAATGTTATTTTCTTAACGGAAGTAGTAATATTATACAGTATATATATATATATTCACAAAGTTCAAATACACGATAGTGAAGTATTCAGCTGAATACTTGTATGAGCTTTTGAGATAACTATAGGTAGTCATATTCAGTTTTTTAACAAGTAACTCCAATTTTTACTCTAATAGTCTCTCCAATATTCGAATTAGAAATATTTTCGCTGGCAAAACCGAAAGTATTGACTAGGTAATCCAAATTAAACACGAAATATTGTATAAAGAAATCATTATTGTATACAAATATCATAGTGTTCTTTGATACAAGTCGATTGTTTCATACTACATTGATATAAATAATTATTAAATAATCATTCGTTCATGGAAGCTGAAGGATAAGATACATCTGTAGAATTATTCGCAAACGGAATAAAAATATTTCAATAAAAATGCTAAATGTTGATTCTTATATTATTAACCCTGAGTAATCAATTGAATTCAATGTAAAACAATCGGTCCTATTTATTGTCTTGAAAATAGATCTATGTGATTAAGTGACTTCCTATTGTCTAACTAAGCTAACTTCTTACCAGTTATCTATGAAAAAAAATATCCGACTTTGCGCATAACAGTAGAGTTTCCAGAAAAATGAACAGTTTGCTAGTTAGACAATATTCAGCAACAATAACACTGACCTAAATGTTTAAAGTTTATACAATTGAGTCAATAAAATTATAGTCGACTATTGACAAATAAACGTGGCCATTAATAGTTGAAGATACTCGTAAGCTACAAGTATTTGACCACAGATGCCTTAGAAATATTGCCAGCATCTGCTAGGATCACCAGGTAAGTAATAGTGAGGTTAGACGCAGGGTATTAGGGAATGATGATTAATCAGTTGATAAGGTTTTGAATCTTCATCGACTGAGATGGTTGGGCCATGTGTTGCGTATGCATGAACACCGATTACCACGACGCGCAATGTCGGCTAGTGTCGGAGACGGTTGGAAGAAAGTTAGGGGCGACCAAACCAAAACGTGGCATCAGTGCTTGAAGTCATTAATATCTGGTCTGAACCATGTTGATAGATGCAGACTACTTGGTTGGGGTCCGCGTGACTACTCTAACCAATGGTTGGAGACTCTTGGTGACATGTCTTAGAATCGATCACAATGGCATTAGTGTATACACTCCTTGTCTTTCCTTAAACTAAGAGATTAAAATCGCTTCATATCTTTCTTGATGTGAACTAATTCTTTCTCCCTTATATGCAATCTTTCTTTTATATATTACCACCATTGAATTTACTACTTTTATGAATTTGGTGTTCATCGCGTTGTGTTAATGAGGTATGGCAACTTGGACCGATGCATATATGTGCCTGGTCCTACGTTGTAGCTGACTGACTGACTGACAAATGATCCCGTTTTTTTTAAATTGAAGATGATTCAGCAAAGAAAATTTTCTAAATCTGCACTGTTTTGTTTTAAACAGCTTTCGATGTGAAAAGCTATCCGATTATGATTAGCAATAAGGAGTCATAATCTCAAAGAAACTTGATGAACAAAATTCGGTTTTTATAGACAAGTAATGTAGTGAACGAAAAACTCAAGTATGGAAACTAATGCATATTAAAGAGTGATTTAGCAAATTATGAAAACCAAACATCAAATACGTAATTTGCACATCTTCCATCAGTTGTCCTTTACACCATTTATGATTCTTTCAATTTCGTTGTTGTTACAATTACTTTCGGTTCTCTTCAGCTCAATCCTTTCTTGACAGGCATTCTACATCTGATTGGTGTTACATACTACTTATATCTGTCAATATAAGTAGCATACACCATAGTAGCGTTTGAGGTACTGTGTACTACGCTTGAGTTTCAGTAATAACGTCTTTAATTCTTAAGATATGGTTATCATCTGTCAGGAAATAATAATCTAATAGATATGATGTATTTCGTTACTAATCACTAACGAACTTAACGCAGCTAAGCAAAAAGACAGTAAGAAATTATACGTAAAAATATTAAAAATTTATTCCATATGCGAATTTTGTATATTAAGAGTGTATAGGACATTCTGGTATAAATAAATTCTATGGTTGGTAAATTAATTATAGATCACAATTGTATCAGATATAGTTATCTCTTGATTGACAATAAATGATGAATTTTGCTCGAATTCCGCTATTTACAGATATCCTAATGACTTCAAGCTCCACAGTGATCCAAATCAGAAAGACATTGTTGTGAATATACTTAATATCGAGTGACAAACTGATGAGCATAGTATATATAAAAAGGAGATTGACCTTGAGTTCACTATATCACTGGTAATTTTATCCACTACAATGAAAAGAGATTGATTCCTATATATGAGAAAGCCGTTCTGTTTTTCACCTACTCAAACTTTCGAGGTCTTTACTTTCCTTAACAAGTGATTTACTAATGCCACATTTATAATATAACGTAACTTGATAAAGATTCTTTCAATCTACCATCTAAAAATATAGTTCCGTCTAGAATTCATTTTCGCAAAATGTTTACTAATGATAACATCGAATAAAATAGATAAGAGAATCGGAGTAGATTTCAATTTATCATATATTAATCGATAGAAAATATGACTTCTACCTATCCCTCTCTCATCAGAACTTTATAACTCATTGAACGGGAGATCACAAAAATGCAGCCTAAGACAGTGAATGAGAGTATTTAATTAAAAAATCACTATATATATATATATATATATATATATATATATATATATATATATATATATATATATATATATATATATATTGCAAAACAACCTAAAATTAGATTGCAAGTGACTAGATTATTAGTACTAATAGGCTCAGTAACATAATAGATGACTCAAGATAGTTTTCACTATGGAGAGGGATAAATGAGAATTTGGTGTAAGGAACCTTCTGCCTAACTGACCAATAAATTAAACTGTAGATTTCCACTTTAGCTGCTTCACATCTAATGTTATATAAGAATAAATTCACTGTGAGATTTTGCAATGTTAAAAATTTAACACCAGTGGTTGACGTTCAATCGTTTAAAATACAAAAGACAGTCAGGTGATAACTGTTTTCTGGTTACTGAATAGCATAAGATTTCTAGTGATCATGTAATACATGTTATAATAACCATTATTACCTATGTCAACCAATAGATCAGTTTCACCCGTGGTTTATGTGCAGACAACACTGAATTAATGAATGGAACTGGGAATAAACAAGGTTAAAAGCTGCATTAAAACAAGAGAATCTCGTCAATAAGTATGTGAAAAGTATTGCGATAACTTCCAAGAGTGACCTTCGTTTTCAGTTGGTAAATTTTATGAATGACTCGGTAAATTCTAACTAATGTCAGGTGGCAGTTCTGATGGAAGGATTTTGTGACGATTAGGTAAATCTGAAGGTATTATTTGTCACAGACTGACGCCAATCGATGAACCATGGAAGACCAGGAAACTTGAATAGCTGTTTCACCCTGGTACTGGACTCCACTGTGGCATGCAGTAGAAGTCGTGGCTTCAATTACTAGCCTAATTCTCGATGCATATTCCTGAGGAGACCAGTGCCAGGAAAAATGGCTGTTCAGTGGCCCTAGTTTCTACTTGTACCTCAGACGATATCAATTGGTGACGAATAGAAGATCAGTTAGTCGACTGTCAAGTCTCACAGCAAAACTACCAGACAGTTAAGTTTAATTTATTTATTATCATCAATTTAAAACCAAGTTTAATGTAAATCGAGTTGCGTAAAACGTTAGCTAAATACTACGTAATACATATCTTTTTGTCATACTTAATATTCTGATTGCTGCTGACATCAAAATGTACTTAGTAACTGTGTCATAAGAAGAACAAATTCATATAAATACGTATATATGATCAAATTAGCCGAATGCGTAAAAGAGTTTGGTTTATTTCCCTTAGTTCTCATTAAGATGGATGAAAGAATTATTAATCTTCCTTTAATACTACTAATCAGTTACATAACATTCAATTTGATAACATTAGGAAATACGCAAATGATGCTGAGTGAGTCATTGGAGGACACGATTGAAAGAGCACAGAAAGAAGCAATGAATGTAACTAACAGAGAAAGAAGTTCGTCCAGTAATGGGAGAAATGATGTGAAATTGATTCAAAGCGATGGCAATTATTATAAGAAGAGACAATCAAACAAGTCAGGTGGTAAACGCTATGAAGGTCTTTTCTATTCTCGTGGTTATTCAATATTTGGTGATATTGATTCAGAGACAACTACATTTCAGTATGGTGGTAAAATCACAAAATACGGTAAACGAAGTCGAAAGTATTCCGACAGAGATACAATTGGAAGTTCGGATCGATATGCTAGTTCATATATTAAAGATGACTTTAAGATTCGAGCTAAATCAAAGAAGAAATATGCAAAAGATTATAATGGAATGTCTGAAATGACAGGGATGGATGTGCAAATCTCTGGCATTCGGAAAACTAATGGAAATGAAAGACAAACTAAAAGTAATAAAGAATCAGAATCGAGAGAAGCGCGAAACAGAACTGTAGACACGAGAAGCTTTAATACGCGTGGGTAGTTGCAAACGTAGTAGATCACCAGACGTGATAAATATGTTTTATTACACATAGAATCAAATTTATTTATGTATAAAATAATGTCAACCACTATTTTGAAACGTGGTAAACAACATATATACGTATATCAGAATATATTTCAAGTAATATCATACATAGTTCTTCCAAAACCTAAAAAGGTTACGTTTGTTGTGCTATTGTCTTACCATAAATAGCAGTTCGTGTCTAGCTAGAAGGTACTTTGTATACTGGGGGAGCGTGCAGAGTAGAGTGAGTGGGAGCAGCTGATAAAGAGACGAACAAAAGAAAACGTGAGCCAGCGATCTAGCAAGTGCACGAAATCCACTTACAATTAGTAAGCAAATCAATAGACGAAAACCAACAATAAAATAAGCCAATAATATTGTTTTCAATTACAGCATCACCAGACTTTAATGAAGAATATAAACGGAAAGGGGTGAAGAATGACAAACGAATACGGAATGTGAAAACACTAATAAAATCGTTTGTTAAGTCGTATTGGACCAAGGAATGAACAGGGGATGTCAGGAATTTCTTCTGAACTGAAACTAGGTCTATAGGTCCGGATCCATATAGTTTCCGCGATGCGCAGGAGACGTGATCGTACTCCATTGGGGAATGACTAAGGTTTACGATAGATTATTCGAAATGATTCACCTTTCTTTATCGTATGCTCACTGAATATGTGAATATTCAGAGATATTAGAGTAAAGACTGATGACCATCTGAGTGAAAACAATATTGTTCGCTCATGCGTTGTTCGAAGAACAGAAGCCTCAGATTGAGACCATCTGGAAATTGAAACTAGAAGATAGTAGGACCAACCATACAATATGATCTTCGAAACGCTAATACACGTTTTCGGTTTGATGAAACAAAGATGAATAGAACTAATTCATAGAGATGAACAGCTCTCAAAACTTTTAGGGAATATAACGTAAGATATTTCAGCATTTTTATTTACTTCATGTCACCTCAGACTCAATATTGCAACTGTAAAATCGAGGGAAGTCTGTGACAACGTTAGGAGGACCTGGAAATTTTCAAGTCACTTTTCTTCTATCGATTATAGGATCTGTACGATTTTAAGAATTTCCTATCAAACAGTGATAAGATCTGTTAGTGATGGCTTTGAGAGCCACTTTAGTTTTCCATTATCTGTTTTCCTGTATCAATAATGTGGAGTTATTACTGTTGTGTCTTTAGGCTCGCTTCTTATCACGTAATTTATTCGCCAATCGAAATACGACTTATTTGCTCTTGTACTGCACTAAACCAATGACGTCCGACCGGTCTTATCAGCCTAGCATCCTATTGGTCTTTCGCTCGTCTAGCCTGTCCAGCTGACTCCAGGATGCCAATAACAGGCTCCACTATGAGAATCATTTCTCTCAGACATACTTGGTTTACACATCACGCAAACAGATCGCATCGTACCATAAAATAGAAAGTAACATTTATACACAATAAAGCCAAAACTTGGCTGTGAATGTAGGAGACAGTATTCAATAAACTGAATATAACTTAAGAACAGTAAATCGTACAATAATAATCTGTAGATCAAAATGAGGCTTATAATTGGAGGCATATAGATTTACATAATCTAGTTAATAAATAATTATACAAAAAAATATATAGATAATATTAGTCCATTAGTAGTTCTCAGAAGTTACTCGTAATTTAATCTTCGCTAGGATATAACAATTATAACACAGCCTCCTTTATCGTATAGTAAACAAATTCTCTTTAAAGCTTTCTGTCGCAATACGTATGATATTCACAAATATCTACACGAAAAATTCAACATCGTAATGCTTTAAGACATTGAGATGTAGAAGCCATATGTGCCAGTTATTGTCGATTTTACTAGTCCTGTCTCCAACTACCTCGGTTTTAGTATAGTGGACAACTTACACGTTCAGTTAATCGATAGTTTACCATGAGCAAAGCTAGGTGACTTAGGTGTTATGCACAATCTACACCTTAAAAGTATGTATCTAACACACTTAACACGATCATTTTCATTCTGTATTGACAAGTAATATCTTAAAACATTCATTTTAGACGATTCGATAACTAACAAAAGTGTTTCTACTAGTCAACTAACACGATAAGAGGAATTATTGTGAGAACTATTATGATGAATTAACTCGAGGGCGTAAATTATCACAGATTTTACATCCGGTTTATCTTCTGCCAGTTCAGTTTCGTGCTTAATTTCGATAACACATTGAAATCTTAGTTTCATATCCTGGATATTCATGGATGATTCACTTCTCCCACAAATAAAGAATTCTAAATATGAAATTCAGGAACAACTGGTGCATTGGTAATACGTGCACTCAATTTAATTTGATCACTTAAAAATTTAGGCATTGACGATCCACTTTAGCAGCAAAGATTTGATTACACACAGTTAACTTGACAAAACTGTGACGGATACTGAGAGATGACAACAACTGACGAAAATGTTTCGCGTGAACATCTGAAAAGGTTAATCAAAAGTGAAATCAGTTAAAAGGTAGGTATACTGTTTATGTCATGGATAAATAAAACTGTTATCGTTGGAAGAATGAAGAAGAAATAAACGAAAGTGTCAACCCACATATTTCTTGTTGTTAACTTAAATAACAAAGTCAATATTATTATAAGCTAAGGTGGATGGTGGTCAGCAAGCATACCCATCTGATGAGTTCTAAATAGGATGAAACGTGCGTCCTGCATATCACTGATAGCCACCATATATCTCTACTTATAATACATATAACTAGATGGCAGAATCGAGGCAATCCGTACAGGATGTACACATACCAAAAAAGAGAATGATCAGTTGCTGTCCTAAATGTCAATGGAATGGTAAATGAATTAGAGTCAATAAAGTAGTGAACGAAGACTTGGTGGATAAAAGCAATTTATCATCTCACACGAAAGTATACAGTTGTCCTTTACCTAATTCATGATTCTTCCAATTATTTCGTTATTCCAACTGCTCTCTGTTTTCCTTCCTGTTCTCTCCATCTCAACCTTATGCTGACAGGCATTCCACTTACGACTGCTGCTACACACTAATTATATCTGACAGCATAAGTAGCATTCGCCCAAATAGTAATTGTGAAATCTGGAAGTATATATCGAAGATGAAGAAGGAACATACACCATACACCATAACAAGTGGGTAGTGTTTACAATCAATAGTTTATCTTCATATCCATCAAATAATAAAGTTGTGGATTACAAATTAAATCACTTAGCATCCGACCATCGTTACGATTTCAAACTGTGATGTACAAATTTCAGCTTGGACAGTTGTAAATTATTACTGAGCTTTACATAACAATTTGGTAGCATTTCAACTGGAATCAATTCTTAACGAATACAACCTACAACTTGAAAACCGACCTCAACAAAACTAACTCAACGAAGTAATAAATCAAAATTGAGAATAACCACTCGATGGTCTAGAGGTTAAGCGTTCGCACGCGAGACCAAGGATCCCAGGTTCGTGTTCCGAATATTGGATCGTGGGTGAGAACTGCTGAGGAGCCCATACAAGGACGAATAGGTCGTTCAGTGTTTCCAGGTTTTCGATAGTGTTCTATTTTAGATCGACTCGTGGTTTCAACTGTGAAATAATAAATGTATACAAATATCCATCATATTCGAACACTTACATTTGAACGAAGAATATTCGTTCCAATAAATAAAGTAAAGGACCAAGGACAGAACCTTGTGGTATGATCTCTAGTTTGTTGGAATAAAGCTAGTACAATAAACGACCAGTTAACTGAATTTCATTTTCAAACACTTCTGACGTTAATCATGTTTCTAGGACAGCAATGACATCCGTGTTTCCCAATATTCACCATTGTCTTGAGCTCTGCCATTTTATATTGCAGGCAGCGAGCATTTGTGCAGCACACTTTTAATTCTGTATAGAACTTTCCCTTACCACCCAGAGTGATTTGGAGATCGTTTTACTTCGAAATTTCACAATTTGAAAACCCTTAAGTACGAGGTATTTTCACCATTTCGTCGGCGGTCGTTTCTTAATGCGGTCAACTAGGCTGAGATCCCCATAGACGTATATTCCGGACCCAATCGGTTTGCGTGAGTTTCCCAACAACAAGTTTCTTTATTCATCCAAAACACGGGTAACCTTTAAGGAGAGGCTTTTCTGAGTGCTTTCAGAATACACTTTATGTCCTGTTCTATGAAGATTACAGATGCTAACTCCGGCAACTGTTTCTGGGAGTAGTTTGCTTATAAAGAAATTAATTTAGTTGAGGTTATGCTCAAATCTATCCTTTGTTCCTTTTCGGAAGATTCTCATAACCCATGAAAAATGGCTGACCTGTCAGTGAGGTCCATCTTAACACGCTATGGAATTTTAATTCCTCAAATCTTCTCCTCCCTGCAATCCGATTTGGCGTCAAACGTAGAGATCTCACTCTGTTTTCTTACTTTTCTTCCACTGGGTACGACTGTAATAAATAATTAAGTAAAATCACAATATATTTGTTCGCCTTCACGATAAACGGTGGAGGTATGATTATTATATCTGGATGCAACAAAACCAGTAACTTATTATTTATAGCGGCTCTCCTACAATCAATTTCGATTATGGTTAATGTTGGTTAAGCTGTTTTATTAATTTACTTAACAGACTATGTTGTTCCAACAGAAAGCATTCGCATATTTGTTTGTAGTATTATCATCATTATCATATCGGTATATACATCTACGCGCGATCACATGACAGACTCAAGCTAAAATATTGATAACTCAAGTTTCGCTTGATGAATCATTCTCTTTCCCATGAACATATGTACTCGAATCCTATTATTAGCTTTTGCCTTGTGCCTAGCTGCGCCTCATTCCATTTGACTATAAATTTGCCTCTGTACTTGCTCGCATACACATTCACCTTTGCTTCAAATTCGCTTGGTGTGCTTATAAGCTTTGTGGTTCGTGCTATTCACTAATAAACTGTAGTTGCTACTTCTTATTGCCTCCTGATTTCAGACACTGTTGGAATTTATATAAATAACGGTTATAAATGTGATTGATTAACGGAACAAAGCCTCTACATACTCATAAACTTCAGTTAAGCCATTAATAAAACTATCAATC